ACAAGTAGCACAAAATAAGGCAGCACGATGTGCACTGCAGTGCTCCTACAGAACCAGAGTCACTGAAATGCTGGAGACATTGAAATGGTTAACTGTCAGACAGAGGTCAACTTATATTTTATTAAATTTTGTCAGAAATATTACAGTGACTCACTCACCAGATATATTATCACAAAGGTTTATAGCGCAATATGCACAACATAACTATCAAACATGACATACAATAGAAGGAAGGTTTGTATTACCCAAATCTAAATCAAATATGGGACAGAAAACAGTCATGTACAGAGCTGTGATCAGCTGGAACTCTTTACCGGTTCACATCATTCAGGAACATTCTCAACTACATTTCAAAAGGTTGCTAAAAAATTATTTAAGTATTATAAAGTAAATTTGAACTGTGTCTGTGGCTATGTATGCATATATTATGATGTAAACTTATTTGTATTTACTTTTGTTTGGCCTTAGGATGGCGATAATTGGATGACCATTTTAGTTTTCACTTCATTTCACTGTAAATTGCATGCAATGATGAGCTGTTTTGTTTTGTTTTCATTTTGTTGTATGTATGTTTATGTATGTTTTGAGTGTGTGAGGACCCCAGGAAGAATAGCCAATGCTCATGCTAGTGCTAATGGGGATCCTAATAAAGACAAAAAAACAGACATTGTTTTGACCTGGGGATAATTCTCATCAATGACCTCATATGTAGCTACTTTAGTGTGTGTGACATCAACACTTTAAATGATGCCTGCTGTCAATAACCTTTGAATAAACAGAGTGAAAAGAAGCCGAATGCAGTGCCAATCAATACCTGCTTGTTGAAGCCCAGGGCTCGCAGGGCATGTTTGACGGCTGTGAGGCGCTCCCTGCTCTCGGTGGAGGCTTCAGCTACTGGAGGGTTCTCCCCGGGAAGTCTTCCACTAAGATACCTGGAAAAGAACAGAGAAATGTGGACAAATGTTTAAGACACCCATAAAAACTAAATTACCAAAGTGAGCAAGGTGTGTCCTATGATGAGTGCTCAGGTGCAAACATTTTATTCATGTGCTCAGCAGGACTTTTAAAAAATATATATCTTTGTGTAGAAAAGTCCCAGGCACACTTTTCAGAGAGCTGTGTTTGGAAGGGAGATTTGAGCAAATTGGGTTTAAAATCTACAGGACTGGATCATGCACACCTAACAAAGACCCATGGAGACATAAAAGGATAGTGAGGTGCCAGAGGGGCTGCAAAACAGAGCAATCCAGGTCAGTGGTTATCACACTGGTGGAGTACCGTGAATAAAAGTGCTGTTAGCGTAACCCACAATCCCACTGTCGCTGTGCAAGAAAGAGCATGGATGAGTAGAGGTGTCAACATGGGATACTCATGTATTCAGGCATAAACACACACACAATCTCTCTGAAGGCATTAAATATGAATGTTTATATATCGTCAGTGTTGAGTTGAACTGTGTACGTGAGCAGCTTTTTTTGAAGTAAGTAAAAACCTCTTAAACTAAGAGGCAAGAAAGACATTTAAATAAACAATTACTCTTGTTGGTGAGAGCAACTGCCATTCTACCTTCACAGGTGATTTTGTGAACTCTCAAAATACACAAAGGCAGCTGAATGCCACGTACCTATGAGCCAGGACATTGTTGAGGTAAAGTGCGCTGTTCTCCTCAGGCGACTGGCCCTCAGCCATCAGATGGAAGATGTTGAAGCTGTGTTGTTGAGGAGGCAGGTGGACCAGACGAGACTTCTCCAGCATGTGGGCGTACACACGGGCTTAAATATCAGAAGTGTATTTTAATAGCATGTGGGTAAATTACATTTCAACAGTGCTGATGATAGTACAATAGTACATTTGTGGCCACTGTTCAATAGGCAGTGCTCACTGATCAAATTAAGATGGATAACAAATAAGGTGAGGGGCTGTAAAACAGATCACAAATAGAAACACCAGAACAGTGGACTGATGGGCTTCTACTGCCCCCTGCTGGCGAGATTCAAGATTTCTTCAATGCTTTACTGTCATGTACAGTACACAGTATACTACAGTGTAGATATAGCCAGGGGTGCACATAACTTTTTTGCCCTGGTTCTCAAAGGAGCACCTGGAGATGTTGCTTGATGCTCATCCTTAAAATGAAATAAACCGTAACTTTTGAAGGGGTCTTGACTTTATTTGCCAGACACACGGCACTGAACACACATGCAGAGGTGAACACAGAACACACATGCAGAGGGGAACACAAGACAACATTAGCACGACCAGTAATCCTACAAGCTGTCATCACTCCCCTCCTGACTGTTCTCCTCACTGTCTTCCTCTCTGTCAGACATGGTAGCTGATGATGTAGGCCTACTACTTTCTCTCTCGTTGAGTCTGCGATTAGCTGCTTGCATCCACAAGTCAGCTGGTTTTGGGTCGAAAGTCTCTGTTGTCATCTTAGACAAGTGGATGTAATCAAATAAGTATGTGAACATAACCAATAACCTACCATAGCCAATAACAAATTAATGTAACTTATTTTATTTATGTTGTTCATTCATATCTTATTTTACCTTAACATTAATTTATTTATGCATTTTTTTGGGTTACTGTCCTATAGTATACATTGGAATGATTTCAAACCTGTTTATTCCAATAATTATAAAGGAGTGCCTTGGAAATATGTGTTTACATAAATTGGGACCAAACCGTTTGAGACCCACTGAGATAACTTAGACTAAAGTGAACTATCTAAACACTCAGTCAGAGAGTCCTTAACCTCACTGAGCCTCTCAGTCTGACATGAGAGCTCTCCTCCACCCTGATTATAGAAACATCTTCTTCTTATATCCGTTAGCGCAGCTAGCACCAGATGCTAACAACAACAACAGCACCGGTACCGGTGCGTCCTCTCTCTCTCTCTCTTTGGCTGTGAGCTGCGGGCGCCTGATAAGCCAACATCCCCCACTTTCATCACTTACAGTGCCCATCGTACAGAGCAAATGAAACGTGTAACCGGGGTGAAAAGGGTGTTACATTTACTTAATTATGAATATTGTTACATCAAGGCCGAAAATTAGGATGAGCACCAACGGTCAAAAATGTTTTTTTCCCTCCCAGAGCTGCCAGCACAGCGCCTCCCCAGATCTGGCGCCCTTGGCGAACATCTATTACGCCATTGCTACGGGCCGGCCCTGAGTTCATATCATAGGTTCATATGCAACTCGCAAATATATTTTCCTCTCTCTTCTCTCTCCTCTCCTCTCTTCTCCCTTATCTATCTCTTCTCTCTCTCTCTCAATGTTGGTACGCAAATGCGCCTTTTTTCAAATGACCCGGTGCTCTTTTTTTGGCGGAGGTGCGCATGCTCCTGCGCACCAGTTATGTGCAGCCCTGGATATAGCAATGAAAAACGTAAGTCCCAGGCTCCTCCAACAATGCAACATGAATATATATAGGACATGAAACAATAAAAAACGATTAAAATTGTGCAAGAAATAACAGAATAGAAATAAAATAGTTCAAGAATAATCACTCGTGCACCGTAGTGCGGTGCCTTACTGTGAGTCTATTTTGTTTTATGTCTAAGATCTCAAATCTTGTGATCAAGATTGTTAAATATTTCTGTTTTCTTATCTTGACAATAAAGCTCATGATATATTTGAACATTTGGAAGAATGAAGTAGGATATTTAGACCCTGCTCAGTTTCTCCTGACTCTTATGGAAAATACAGATACAACTATATGAAAGTAATTGTAAAGCCAACTAACAAACAATCACTTTCCCTTTGGAAATGTAGCTTACCTCTGAGCAGTGTCTTCCTTTTGTCACAGTATTGGATGGTCAACAGTTTGATAAAACGGCTCGAGTTGTTGTTCTTCAGAGTCTTTGCATGACCGAAGGCCTCCAGAATACAGTTTACCTGCATATTGTATCACACCAAAATACAATTGTTACCAGTGAGACAGTATTGTACTTAAGCATGACTTTTACTGTAGTGTATGTTTATCTTTTTATTTTTCAAATAGTAAAATCAAGTTTGTTAAACATATTTCTGAACCTGAATCAAAAAGGAATTCTGCTTCAATACCAATTCCTACCACTAGATGTCAATATGTATCCATTATCTGGGACTTGAGTATTTTTTGTGTCCCAGGATGATCAGAGAGCGAGCTGACCCAGTTATCGACTACATAACGATGACTTCATCAGAATACAGCACTTGCAATCCGACGCGACACAAGCTTTGTTACCCGCCTGATAGACCCAGTGCAAAACAGTGAATCATATGGAAAGCACCACGATGGTGTCACAATAAATGGAGGATATGAAAACCTGACCTTGCTTAAACACTTAATAGTGTGCCATGGAAAGGACATGGGTATTTAATGTCCTGCTTTATCCTAATATAGTTGTTTTTTTAAATCAATAGTCTTTTCTTAGGATGTAGAGAAAAGGGACTGCTTCCTAAGAAAAACGTTTCAAATTATTTCCTCTGCTGGAAATGGTTTAGCCGAACAATAACAGCTCAGTATAGAGAGTGGGATCTTAATGGAAATCTTGATGATGCAATCAAACAGGGTTTGAATGCTCAAATGATGCCTTTGGTGAATGAAGAGCTATCAAGCAGAGAAAAAAAGACTTTCAGTTAAGCCCCATACTCTGTGTGGTAATCTATACGTCTATTTGTACTCAGCACGGCAACAGAAGAACAGCAGGAGACATTTACATGACTCCTGCCTTACTACACTTGCACTGTCACTATCTGATTTTGTATCAAAGAAATGATATGATGAAGGAACAATAGGCAGAGTAAAACATAAGATCAGGGAGATAGGGTGAAATATGCCTGGCTTTGAAGAGTGCACAAATATTCATGGGTTTCTCACTGAGGAATGATTGTGAGTGGCATGGAATTTGAAATGAAATAACAGCACACAGTTGTACTATAAGATTATCGTTGGAACATTTCACCTTTTTGCCATCTAAAATAATGACTCAAGGGCATTATAGCAACAAATCATTCAAGACACTGAGATTTCATCACATGTTCGTAAGCCATAAGCCTCCAGGACCCGACCTGATGACTGCAAGAAGAGTTAAATAAATAGAGTATAGAGAACAGACTTACGTGTTTCATTCTGGGCTCCAGTGCAAAGCCTTTGGGGCTGGAGCGGGCTGTCAGATGTCTCACTATGTGCTTAAAGGCCTCCGTTTTCCCAGAACCACTTTCACCACTAGAGAGAAAGAAAAAATTGCTCATTTAATGTCCTTCCTGCCTGAGGTGATGTTATTCATGTTTCCACATTTATTAAAGTTTTTTAACAATTACTGAACAGTGAAACCGGTTTAGCTTGCAGAGATAATTCCTCCTGTGCATCCTGGGCAATTAAAGAGTCTTTCTGATCCAATGTAAATGATGGGGTACCAAATCCACATGTCACAAATTGCCCCTGTATTGATATTTCAAATTTCAAAAAACTTGTGAAAAAATGTGTGTCTCATACAATTTTATCTTAAATGAATAGATAGTGACTAGAGTGTTGGTAAGCAAACAAAGTCAAATTAAATAGCTGCTACTAAGCAACAATAAAAGGACAAACCCAAGCATCTGTGTCAGTTACATTGCTCTAGATGTGTCTCAGAAGAATAGATGATATGCATTAGTCATGAGGGTGTTAACAACATCTGTCATCTCAGTTGCATGTCTCCACCTAGCTGACATCACCCATTCAGGGACCCCCACCCATCTAAATCACCATCTATTCCGTCTTTCTGACACAACTAACGGGGCTCCATTGATCACCACTTTCCACACGCTGTTATTGCCACAACTTATCTGGCAGTTGAGGCTTTTTTCAATTTGTCATTGAGTGGATATTAAATTGGGCACCAACGCAGTACATGCTCCGACACTCACCGTCACGCAGAGAGCGGAGACTGGCGTGTAACACCTAGCAGATGGCTGCAGGAGGTCAGAAATCATCACTAATGGCCGCAGTGTGCTGTGGTGCGCTGTTTGTTGCTATGTTTCCTACTAACTGCCCTGCTGAGTGCGAAGTCCAAAGGCCTTTCCACTGCCTTTTCATTTAACAGTTTTTTATTAGATTTCAAGGGCATTTTGTTAGAGCACTAGCCCTGGGGGATCATGGCCTTGCCTGTAAACGTGTTAGTGTGTGCATGTGTGAGGAAATATGGAGCGAAACAGAGGGCTTGAAAGAGAACCAAGAAAAGGAGGAATAAAATACAGTGTGTGTATGTGGGAAGGCACGGTGTCATGTCCGAACAGATGTGTGTGTGTGTGTGTTTGTTTGTGTGTGTGAGTGAGATGGATAGCCTGTGGCCAGGGCGCATTAACTCTCTGCCAGATTGGTTACAACTCAGCGGGAATGTCACTGTACAGCCGGAACGGGATTTAATTGCAATCAGGAAGCTGCCTCCGTCCAGCTGAGGACAAAGGGCAAGAAGCTACAACACTCCGAGCTAACCTCCATCGCTGCGTGAACATTGAATAGGTCCACTGCTCAGCTCAGGCAGAGAGCTATTAGTCTCTCAGGGAGTGTTAAACAGGTGGAGGGGTGTGGACCAGACAGGTGGCCAGCTGAACGTCACGATTATTCACACGATTATTTCCCTCTGTTGAGTTTTTTGTCTCATAATCCAGAAGGCACGGAGTTGAGTGTGTACCTCAAGATGAAACACTGTGGGCGTCTCTCCTGCAGCATCATGTGGTACGCTCTCTCTGCGGAGGAGAAGATGTGAGGCGGCAGAGAGGAGCACAGACGACCCGTGGAGCTCAGGTACAACTGACTCACCTGAGAGAGAAAGACAAGTAAGTTAAGACATTAGATTACAACCTGATGTTACATGGATACACACACACAAGGGTGAGCAACAGAGAGGATAACGTTTCAGGAAAACAGTGAGACCATGCTGGATATAACTTTTTATAGCACTGACACTAAACCACTAAGAAGGTGTGGTTTACTACTCAGTCCAGCCATGTCATTTGACCTAAACTGAAGATGAATTCAGACTCATTTCTGGAATTCCTCTTCCTTAATTTTTTTCGGAAGGTAACAGTTTATTGATATATAATAAAAATGTAGCTAAGCAATTGCCAAAATGTGATTATCTGTCTAGTTTGTTATTGGAAACATATCTCTTTTGTTTCAAACACTGATGTTGTTGTTGTCTTAAAAACAATTGTATTATATCACTACCATGAGACCCGACTTTACATTTAGACTGAACTATTGACTGGGAATGTTAATAGCTTTTATTTCAGACTTAAAAATCAGTTTTTATAACAATGTTTTCATTCTAAGTCTCTGACCAAATGAAGGGTTTATAGAATGTCACTCAGATATTGACTCTTTCTTTTTGTTGAAACACGGTCAGTGTATCAGAAAGTTAATCCCACCATTGTCTGCCATACTAATCTCTGATATAACTGTACGACACCCTTTCTTTAACCAGTAGAGAGGATGTGAGCCAAACAGTGCTGTATTTGGCAATGGAAAAGGTATGGAGGATGGGCTGTGGACCACCAGAACAGAGGGGGTGACAGACGGCCAGCAGGTCACACATGTTGTGACATATGTCCTCCTCACACCGGCCCCTCCCTGCTCGTCCACACGTCCTCTCCATCGGGTGTGGACGCCTGGAGTGAGTCCAGACCGAGGCTGGAATGGGACGGCCAGAGGGGGCCTGGCTTCATTCTGTCATGTCAGGAGAAGATGTCTCCTCCATCAAACCCCTTCTGGGCTCACATGAGCAAGGGGCTCAGCTGGCATTCATTCCGCTTTTTGAGTTAATCACTGTTTAACATGGCTGACAAACAATCAATGTGTAAAAGTTAAAAATATGCTGTATTTTACCAGTAGAGAAAGTGTTTTTAAAAGTCAAAACACGTAATAGAGTGTGTGTGTGTGTGTGTGTGTGTGTGTGTGTGTATGTGTGTATGTGTGTATGTGTGTTTGTGTGTGTGTGTGTGTGTGTATGTGTGTATGTGTGTGTGTGTGTGTGTGTGTGTGTGCGTGCGTGCGTGCGTGTGTGCGTGCGTGCGTGCGTGCGTGCGTGCGTTAGCTAAACTGAATCTCTCGCCCCAGCTGATGCAGAGTCAGCCTAGTGCTGTGTATCACTGACAGGAAAGGCTGCATTATTTATCAACCACAAGGTCCATTTCATCTGTTCATGACCTGCTTCTTATGCAGCAAATACGCCTTCTTTATAGTACGATTGCACATGTAAAATGCATAACCTATCAAACCCACGTGTTTTAAGCGTGGATCAAAGTACATTGAAATGCTTTTCTGTTTTTGTTTTGTTTTTGTTTTTGTTTTTGTTTGTGTTTTTGTTCTTGTTTTGTTTGTCGACCTTACTCGTAATGTAAAGATTCTTTGGGTCTAGAAAAGCGCTATATAATTCCCATTTATTATTATTATTATTAAATGCAAAATAAACATTAGGAGAGCAAAGCACAGCATATATGTTAAGCCTATGTGGAATAGATGTAATTGAAATGCATGCTTACCAAGGTGGAGTAGATGGGCAGCTCTTTGTTTGGATTGACCAGCAGAAGGATGTGTCCAATGTAAGTCTACAAGGAAGAAAAAAACACACACCTAAGTGATCTTTTACTCATGAATACAATTATATAAAACCTTTGTCTTTCGAGCGTGACCGTTTTGACATACAAACGGGTTGAAGCTGTGTTTTAATTACGGACAGATTGCCTGAAGCTAACACTGAAATGAGAATAAGTGCTGTCACCCTCTTTCCTTTACATTAGTATTCATGGTGGTGACAATCTGTATTACCTTAAGAATATGGTAATCTCATGGCAAAGAAAGGTCAGGACGAGACCTCCAAGGATAAACTTAGTAATGACCTTTTTCCAGGAAAAAAACCCAATTCTGCCCTCCTACGCGACGTACACAAACCCTGAGGCCATTTAGATCAAATAACCAACTGCCAATTCCTGACCCTTCCCACTAAACTGCTAATCCCCTGTTTCTCAGTTAGAGTCCTGGAGGCTGTTTGAAAGCTAACACTGTGTCTCCTGGGAGAGCGCAGACATGCTAACATTCTGCAGCATGCTGCTCTGTCCTCAGGCCCAGCGGGCTCAAGGTTAATGACTTGAACACATTTTCCTCTGCTTGCAGACACCGAGCGAAAGTCAAGATACAAGTGTTGCTTTTTTTACCCGTAAAGCTACCACACTAACTGAAAACGTTGAATGATTGAAAATCATGTGAAAAGATTAAACAGTGTCTTCCGTCATATCCTTCCCCAGTTCCTTGGCCCTCTCCTCAAGGGGTTTAGTGGTCCTTCTATCCTGGCAGAAGGCAGCAGCCCCCTCAGCAAAGCTCCCTTTCTGACCACCCTGCTGGGGACATATTGAGCATCTACCTCCTTTGTCCTTCCCCCTTATTTCTGTCCCTCATCACATCTATGCTTCTTCACCTTTTTCTTTAAATACCGTCCATTGTGTACATAAAGTCATATTTTATGGTATTGCAACAAGAAGGTGAAAAAGTGCAGAAATGCAAAGGAATTCATTTACTCTGTAACATGAACATCATTTCTAAGAAAGGGTTCAAGGGCTTTTAAAAAAATCTTAGGTCTTAGTCATCCTCCAACAATGCTCATTAAATATGTATAGAAAATACATTCCTGCAAGCAAACATAATCTGAATCGAAAACGTAAAACAGTGCAGTGGGATAAAGTAAAGACACATAAAATATAAACTGAATGGAAACAGGAAACTAGAAATGTACATGTGTAAACTGTTCTGTAAAACAATTCATAAAAGTATATAAGGGTATATTTATATTTGTTTATCAGCTGAATCTTTTAACATTACATGAAAAACCATTATTTGCTAAACTGCATACATTTTATAATTATAATGAAAACGATGCAATGTGTGTATCTTCATGACAGAAGATATATACTGTACAATCAGATGTGCCTTATGTCCACATGATAGCTGCACTCTGTCGTTTCTTTTCACCAAATTCCCCTTGGACTGCACCTTAAATCCAGCCCTCATTATTCTAATCATTTCTCTTTTCTTCATCCACCAATCTCCTGCCTCCTATTGTCATCCCGTTATCAGTCGTCCCCCTGCTGTGGCTAGCCCTACTGTCTGTCGCCCATCTGGGTTCCTATAATAACAGACCATTACTGCCTCTTCACAGGGAAGAGAGTGCACGGGATGGCTCTACATTGATCTGGTTCCAGTCTTTATAGAGCTCGGTCCCCATGGAGGAGTATGGGCTACATCACCATTTTAAAGGAAAGTAGAAAATGACAGGAAACAAGAATAGAAAATGGACCATGTGTTGGAGATGAAGGCATTTAACTCCTGAATATAGTGATGGATTTATCTTTCCAGTCGATATAAATGGTATTGATTTAGCCATTGTCCCCATAGTAAGTATATGTGTGTGTGTGTGTGTGTGTGTGTGTGTGTGTGTGTGTGTGTGTGTGTGTGTGTGTGTGTGTGTG